AGGGTTTTGACCTTAGGCTTAGTTTTGACATCAGGTCAAGTTCACTACAGTAATGATAAAAAATGAAACTTTCATATATTTCAGATTCATTGCACACCAACTGAAATATTTCAGGTCTTTAATTGTTTTAATACTGATGATTATGGCATACAGCTCATGAAAACCCAAAATGCCTGTCCCAAAAAATTAGCATATCATGAAAAGGTTCTCTAAACAAGTTATTAACCTAACCATCTGAATCAACGACGTAACTCTAAACACCTGCAAAAGATTCCTCAGGCTTTTAAAAACTCCCAGCCTTGTTCATTACTCAAAACCGCAATCATGGGTAAGACTGCCGACCTGACTGTTGTCCAGAAGGCCATCATTGACACCCTCAAGCAAGAGGGTAAGACACAGAAAGAAATTGCTGAACGAATAGGCTGTTCCCAGAGTGCTGTATCAAGGCACCTCAGTGGGAAGTCTGTGGGAAGGGAAAAGTGTGGCAGAAAACGCTGCACAACGAGAAGAGGTGACCGGACCCTGAGGAGGATTGTGGAGAAGGGCCGATTCCAGACCTTGGGGGACCTGCGGAAGCAGTGGACCGAGTCTGGAGTAGAAACATCCAGAGCCACCGTGCACAGGCGTGTGCAGGAAATGGGCTACAGGTGCCGCATTCCCCAGGTCAAGCCACTTTTGAACAAGAGACTGCGTCAGAAGCATCTCACCTGGGACTGCTGCTGAGTGGTCCAAAGTTATGTTCTCTGATTACAATAAATTTTGCATTTCCTTTGGAAATCAAGGTCCCAGAGTCTGGAGGAAGAGAGGAGACACAGAATTCACATTGCTTGAGGTCCAGTATCAAGTTTCCACAGTCACTGGGGTGTCATGTCATCTGCTGGTGTTGGTCCACTGTGTTTTATCAAGCGCAGGGTCAATGCAGCTAGCTATCAGGAGATTTTGGAGCACTTCATGCTTCCATCTGCTGAAAAGCTTTATGGAGATGAAGATTTCATTTTTCAGCACGACCTGGCACCTGCTCACAGTGCCAAAACCACTGGTAAAAGGTTTACTGACCATGGTATTACTGTGCTCAATTGGCCTGCCAACTCTCCTGACCTGAACCCCATAGAGAACCTGTGAAGAGAAAGTTGAGAGACGCAAGACCCAACACTCTGGATGAGCTTAAGGCCGCTATCGAAGCATCCTGGGCCTCCATAACACCTCTGCAGTGCCACAGGCTGATTGCCTCCATGCCACGCTGCATTGAAGCAGTCATTCATGCAAAAGGATTCCCAACCAAGTATTGAGTGCGTAACTGAACATGATTATTTGAAGGTTGGCGTTTTTTGTATTAAAAACACTTGTTTTTCATTGGTGGGATGAAATATGCTAATTTTATGGGACAGGCATTTTGGGTTTTCATGAGCTGTATGCCATAATCATCAGTATTAAAACAATTAAAGACGTGAAATATTTCAGTTGGTGTGCAATGAATCTGAAATATATGAAAGTTTCATTTTTATCATTACATTATGGAAAAATAATGACCTTTATCACAATATGCTAATTTTATGAGAAGGACCTGTATATATATATGTGTGTGTATATGTGTATGTATATATATATGTGTGTGTATATATGTGTGTATTTGTATATACACATGCTGAATGTCCGTAGTAAATGCCAAAATGGTGGACAAATGCCGTTGTTGCCGTGACGACCATTGTTCAGAAACTTTGACCATTGAAAAAGTGAGAGTCTTATGGTCAACACAAGCAATAAAGTCTCTGCCCTCCAACATGAAGCGGAAATGCCGCGTTGCCAGAAAAAGAGCAAGCAGTTCCCTATCAAAGTTGCTATATATTTTTTCAACATCCCTGAGTTTTCTGCTAAAAAAAGGAAGGGGTTGCAATGGTCCATCCACCCTTTGTTCAAAAACTGCTCCAACTGCAGAATCAGCGGCATCAGTTGTCAGAGCCAAAGGAGCCGCTAGAGATGGATTGGCCAAAAGTGCAGCATTAGCCAAAGCCTATTTGGCATCATTGAATGCCTGTACCTTCTCTGGGGTCCACTCTATTTGCTGGTCCCCTTTTTTGTCTCTTAAGTGCTTCATACAAAGGATGTATAAGCTGCCCGTTGGATGAAACTGTTATAAATGTTCACCATCCCCAAAAACTCCTGTAGGGGTTTCACTGTGGGAGGGCGAGGAAAAACTAAAACAGCTTCAACCTTGGCAGGTAGGGGAACCGCCCCTTGAGCAGACGCTCTGTGTCCCAGGAACTCAACAGCAGGCAGACCAAACTGGCATTTAGCTGGTTTAACGATCAGGCCGTACTCACTGAGCCGAACAAACAGCTGGCGAAGGTGCACCATGTGTTCTGCCACCGAGGGACAAGCCACCAATATATCATCCAAATAGACGAACAAAAATGGCATACACTGCAGGACCGAATCCATAAGTCACTGGAACGTCTGCGCTGTGTTTTTAAGGCCGAAGGGCATCCGTAAAAACTCAAAAGACCAAAAGGTGTGATAACTGTGGTTTTTGGTACATCTAAGGCATGGACAGGAACCTGATGGTAGCCCCGCACCAAATCTACCTTGGAAAAAACAGTTGCCCCCACCTGGCGGGCAGAAAAATCCTGAATGTGAGGGACTGGGTACCTGTCGTTACTGATTACGTTGTTAAAGCGCCGAAAATCCCCACAGGCTTGCCAACCCCCATCGGCCTTTGGCACCATGTGCAAGGGGGATGCCCATGGACTTTTGGAACGTCTCACAATGCCAAGACGCTCCATGCTAACAAACTCTTCCTTAGCCTTTTGTCTTCCACCATCAAGCTCAGAAAAAACGAATGAATTACAACCGTTGATTCGCTCCTTTATATTCTGTCCCTTTCACAATAAGAGCACATTCTGACGTGAAATATATACATTTGTGTCCGCCACAATATTGTGATATTTCAGAGCATTCTGACGATAACGATAAATTTCGTGATACAACAAAAAAAAGAAATCGCATTCATTTGACAAAATTAACTTGTGTTGCTTTGCAATATTATAAAAAAAATTTATAAACAAGGGTTAATTTTACTGAAATTACTTTATTCAGTAAAGTATTCAGTTGCCAAGTATAAAAATAAAAAATAAAATTGTCCTTCTGTTATTTAGATTGAAAAAGTCTGCACAAAATATAGAGCAATAAATCCACCACAAAAACTAAAGTGCAGGTGAGTTTCCCAAAATAACTAAATAAAATGAAATGAAGCTTAAGATCTGTTGAGCATAAATGTAACATACAACAAAATATATGTTGTCTTTAAATGAGTTATAATTTTCAAAACAATGTGTCCGGCTGACCCTGAAGCTTGTTGGTGTTTCAGCCTCCTATGTTCCTGCAGGAATTATTCCATTTCTCTCACTGCTCTGTCTTTGATCACCTGCCCCTTTTCTTGGTCCATGGATGGACTGATTGTGGAACTCGAGACACTGTTGAGCTGCGTGTGTTTGTACCGGCAGTTTAGAGCAGGGGGAGACGCAGCCGAGCTGCACCGGCAGCTCAGAGCTGGGTGGGGGGAGAGAAAAAAGCCAAGCTGCGTTTGTACCGGCAGCTTAGAGCGGGTTGGGGGGAGGGAGAGACAGTTGAGCTGTCTGTACCCGCAGTTTAGAGCTGGGTAGAGAGAGAGCTGAACTGCATGTTGTTTGTTTTTAGCTTTTTAGCTAGCTAGTATTGCGCACAACTAATGAGCGTTTACGCTAGTACCGACAGGTGAAGGGGTGGGGGGGTGCGCAGTTCGGTTCGGTAGTTTGGCACGTTCGGTTAACGGGGCGGAGCGCCCTTGCGTAGTACGTCATGAAATTAGCATATCATGATATAATTTATTTTCCCTGGCAAGCTTTTTTTTCTGGTATTAACGTGAACAATATGACGTGACCCAGCCCTAGTGTTGACTACAGCCATTTCCATTCTCTTAGCAAAATCCACCACCATCTGTCCTTCCTGGTTTCTTTCCTTGACACCAAACCTACCCATCACTTCCTCATCCCCTCTGTTTCCTTCACAAACATTTCCATTAAGGTCTGCTCCGATCACTACTCTCTCCTCCCTGGGAATATTTCATCCAGGTCCATCCTAAATGTATCTTTCTCCTCCATATCACATCCAACCTGTGTAGCATAACCATTGACAATGTTTAGCATCAGACCTTCTACTCCTACCTTCAGGGACATAACCCATCTGTTACTCTTTTCACCTCTACTACGTTCTTTGCCAACTCCTCTTTCAGGAATACCCCTACTGCATTTCTTTTTCTATCCACACCATGGTAAAACAGTTTGGACCTTCTCCAGCTGCGAGCCTTGCTGCCCTTCCACTTGGTCTCTTGGACACATAAAACATCTACCTTCCTTCTCTGCCTCATGTCAAAAATCATCATGTTGACCCCCGTCATCAAGCAATGATGAGAAATACCCTCCCCTCCGTCCGTCTGTATGTTGTGAGCATGATAACTTGGGGAAAAAAAAGCAAGGTGTTGACTTCCATTTTAGTGTGTGGCTGCATCTATGCGCAAGAAAGGTTCTTTTTAAAAATCGGGTTGCCACATCAAAATTTAAAATGTAAACTGGCCACCCCAATCATTTGAGGAAACTACGCTTTCTATTTATTACATTGGTTAAAAGTTTAGTTTCCTCAAATGACTGGGCTGAAGCTTAATTTTTGGGGGTCATGGCCACCAATGGCCACCCCTGGCCCCTCCATTGCACCTGGTTTTTGATAAAATGGCTCCCTCTACTCTCCAGGATCCATCACTCTGCTCTGCCTCGGACAATAAAGAACTCCCTCTGTTCTCCTCCACAGTGTATCTCCTCCTCACTTGAAAGTCTGTCAGTAATACATTGCTTCCTTTCATCTCCTGTTCAATTCCAGTCCAAAAACACTCAAACTATAAACATTCACTTTTCAAATCCCTCAGGGATGGGGGCCATCGGTGTATCGCTTATTCATTTGTGTTTGTGTAGGGTCTGGCCAACGAGTCGTCAAACCACAGCTATGGAAGTCTGGGCTCGTCGAGTGACAAAGAGTCGGAGGTAAGTCCACACAGAGGCACTCCTTTTAGCCTTAATTACATACCAAGGAGACGTTTAGGCTGTTTGATAACGTGTGTATGTTAAAGTATTGAAATCCACTCTTGGTTCTGTCTGTCCTGCTACCTTCACCTTTCTCCTCCTTTCCCAGAACTCTGATTGGAAAAGAGGGAGCTCCCCTGCCTACTCTATATGTACTTCTTCGTCCTGCTCTTTCCCTGCCAGCCCTGGTTTCTGCTTTTTTAGTTAAAACAATTGATGTACACCTTTCTTCTTATTTTGTTTTGTATCAATTGGCAGACCCCAGAGAAGAAGCACTCTGAATCGTCCCGGGGGAGGAAGAGGAAAGCTGACACCTATTCTGAGGGCAGTCAGGGTATGTTGAGTGGGGAGTTTTGGGCTAACGCAGCTTCCGGACAGCTTTCCCTTACATGTAATTATATTTTGTGCAGGGAAGACTTCCACTCGTGGGCCCAAGATCAGCGACTACTTTGATGTGAGTAATACAGTTTCTCCATTCTTGTCAGAAATCTGGTCACTTGAACCAAAAATCTCACGATTAGCTTCTCTGCAAAGTTCCAGGGTGGAAACGGTTCTAGTCCAGTTCGAGGCCTGCCCTCTGCTCGCCGCTGGCCTCAGAGCTCACACTCTGCTCCAGGCTCTATTGTGAGTATTTCTCTGAGTTGATTCTTATTTTTGGTGATTTCTGATGAATGTCTCTGTGAATTGTAAGGTTTTATTTGACTTTCCGTGTGTAGATCCGTCAGAATAGCTCCTCACCCACCAGTCTGTGCTTTGGGGAGCACAGTCTCAAAGCTGCTTCAAGCAAATGTGTCCAGGTATAACAACGCACAGAGACTAAATGAAACAGGTCTATTTTTACATCATTTGATTTAACGAATGTAGTTTGCTTATTGGTGATATTTTCTCCTAGACTGAGCTGACGGGCCTGAAACTTGCTGCACTGGAGAGCAACAAAAATCTGGACCTGGAGAAGAAAGAAGGGCGAATAGATGACCTGCTTAGAGTGAGTTCTGACTCTTCATTTGTTTTCCTCCCCCTTCCTCCAGTCTTATTAATTTTATTAATATACGCCCATCAAAGCACAGACGTATCATGGTACAGTCTCTGTGCATATATAAAATTTGTTTTGTGTGGGCAAAAACTTCTAGTCCACTCAAGATGATGTAATGAAACTTCACACATATGTGCATCATCACTGGACGGAGTGTCACATAACCTTTTCCTCACCCCAGCTCCAAGGTCACAAACCAAAGTCTGAGTTGAGATGAAGTCTTTACTTGTCTGGGTCATTGCTTTAGATAGCTGTAATAATTTGTCAACGTCAAAGTGGCGCATGAAGTATGTTGTACCTGCTTTATTGAAAATCACACGGTTTCATGCTGTGCTCCTTTCAACAGGCTAATTGTGACCTACGGAGACAGATTGATGAACAGCAAAAACTCCTGGAGAAATACAAGGAGAGGCTGAACAAGTGCATCACCATGAGCAAGAAGCTGCTCATAGAGAAGGTATGTGTTGTTGGACACATGTCGATCTTAAAGCTGAGCCGGAGCCACAGGAAAGAGGAAGTAACCCTCCAAGTCTAAGAGATTTAAACGCCAAGCTGATGATCAGGTCGGCGATGAGATGTCTGGAACACAGGCAGATGTTTTTTTTCCTGTTGAACACAGAGCCTGGATAAGATCACTAGGACTTTATCACATCTAGGTCAGACTGAACTGCCTTTATCTGTGTTTCTCATTTAGAGCAAAACATTTTAAGAATCGCATTGAAAAGAAAAAGGTTAAGGACTTAATGGTGCGGCATTAAAATAAACTTTTCTTTTTTCAGCTGTTCCTCCTTCAGCAAGTCCTCCATCTCTCTGTCCTCTCTAACTGCTTCCATCTATGTCTTTTTTCTGGCAGCTGCATTTTTAACATCCTTCTACCAATATACCCACTTTCTCTCCTCTGGACATGTCCAAACCACTGTCCCTCCTCTGGACATGTCCAAACCACTGTCCCTCCTCTGGACATGTCCAAACCACTGTCCCTCCTCTGGACATGTCCAAACCACTGTCCCTCCTCTGAACATATCCAAACCATCTCAGTCTGGCCTCTCTAACTTTATCTCCCAGTTGTTCAGCCTGTGCTGTACCTCTGATGATCTCATTCCTAATCTTATCTATCCTTGCCACTCCTAAGGAGAACCTCAACATTTTCATTTCTGCCACTTCCAGGTCTGTCTCCTGTCTTTTTGGCAATGTCTCTGTCTCCAGACCATACAACATAGCTGGTCTTACCACTGTCTTGTAAACTTTTCCTTTGACCTTTGCCGACACCCTTTTGTCACAAATCACTCTTGAAACTTTTCTCCATCCACTCCATCTTGCCTGGACTCTCTTCTTCATCTTTTTGTAACACTTCCTGTTTTCCTGGACCCTAGGTATTTGAGCTCCTACGTCACAGGCGTCAAACTCCAGGCCTCGAGGACCGGAATCCTGCAACTTTTAGATGTCTCTGATGCCACACAGCTGAATGAAATAAGGAGGTCATTAGCAGGACTAGGGGTGCAGAAAAAAAATCGATTTTTTTAAAAAAAGAATCTAGATTCTTAGTCCTGGCAATTCTGAATCATTTCTAAAGGCCCATAAATCGATTTTAAAATGCGTTTAAGTTTTATATTTTTTCCGCTCTTACTCCCCGCTCGGTCGCCGTAGAATTGGGCCATGTAGGCCACCGTACAGCAAGCTAGTTAGCCAGCTCCCTTTATCTGAATGAAGTGCTAGCATTGAGGAGGGAGACAGCGCGATTCAACTTGCTTCTTCGTCTTTAAAAATAATTTCAGATTCTACAATGGTCTGGGGGAAGACAGAGCTTAACAAGAGCACAGTTGTTTACAAGAAGTGTAAAATAAAATTGCGCTACAATATTTTGGAAATACGACAAAATGCACGGAAGATGAAAGTGAAAGCAGCTGAGCAACGAACTCTGCAACAAACTTCCAGGCTTCCCCAAAGGCTGCGAAGATTTCCCTCTCCTTCTCCTGCCATATCACAAAGAGGATTTATGAGCAGACTGCTCAGTGGAAGGTGTTTAGGTTTCTTTTTAATATGCTGGATCCAATGTACGTTATTCCTTCACGTAGATTTTTTTTGCGATAAAGCAGCACCACAACTTCATCATAAAACAACAAATGGGAGAAGCTCTGATGCAGCTCAAAGGTAGCTATTTTTTTTCATATTATACTAAAACTTATATAGAGAAGTTGTACAACAAACTTAATGTAATTTGTCTTTTTAACAGGTTGAAGAGAGGCCAGATGAGACGCATCACTTGGAGCCAGTTCTAAATGATACAGTTTAGATGGTTTATAAATTACAGTTCAGAAGAAGTTTTTGTGCAAACTTGCACAGGTTTTGAAATTTTCTTAAAGATTTACTAAATATGAATTAATATGGTTAAGACTGTTATGTCTGGTTCATATTAGCTTAAGTTTTGAAAATATAACAAATGTTTGAGCAATATGGTTTAAAAAAAATTGTGAAGTCGTTGTTTTATGTTGAGTTAAAGGTTAATATACTATGTATGGTAGGATGAAGTCCGTTTACTTTTTTATTTATATATTTTGAATTAATTATTTGTCTGTGCTGGACTGGAGACCTGTCCAGGTGTCTCCCATCTCTCACACAGTGATGACTGGACATGGGCACCAGTGACCCCTGTGACCCGTAAAGGAAGAAGTGGATAAAGATGATGGATAGATGAATTTTTTATTCCTAGATTTTAATTTTTTTTAATTAATTAATTTATTTATTTATTTATTTTAGAAAAATTCAGGCAGCTAAGCTAACCTAATACTGTTAATTTAAGTTACAGAATTTTATGGACTCCTATATTTTTTCCTATTTTTGGTATAAATATAAAATTAATCAAAATATTTGATACAGTAAGGAACCTAAAATGATTGTTTTAAATATATGTTCCATTTGTTTACATTAATGTTTAATCTTTTCAGCTTGTCAGTTACATACACATTATAATTGAAACAAAATTTATGACCATTTCAATAGAAAAATTGTTTCTGAATTGAAAATTGTTTCCGAATCGAAGAAACTATTTTGAATCAAATCGTGACCCCAAAAATCGGAATCGAATCGGATCACCACACACTGAAAGATTCGCACCCTAAGCAGGACTTTGGAGAACTTGACTGCGCTGAGAGGATAAGTCAGTCATATGATTCAGCTGTGTGGCATTTGAGACGCATCTAAAAGTTGCAGGACTCCGGCCCTCGAGGCCTGGAGTTTGACACCCCTGTATATGTCAAATGTTGTAAAAGGTCTTTGCCCAGGCTAGTGCAGATTGCTGTATAATAGTTTGTTGATGGGTGTATAATGTGCTGTATGTGGTACTCGTTACTTTAAGTTGGTGCTTTTCCCATTGAGTTCTTGAATGAGAATTCCTTTCAGCTGAAACGTTGATGAAAGGTTGGGAAACCTTCAGCAGTTCAGTAAATGTGAATCAACCTGGTTTTTTGTTTTGTTTGTTTTTAAAGAGCATCCAGGAGAAGCAGTCATGTCGTGAGAAGAGCATGCGAGATCGCCTCCGCCTTGGTCACTTCACCACCGTCAGACATGGCGCCTCCTACACAGAGCAGTGGACTGACGGATACGCATTTCAAAACCTGATCAAGTGAGGATTCCAAACATGTCATGTTTCTGAAAGGACTGGTTCTGTTTTAATTGTAATGACTTCCTTTCTGTTTGGCAGGCAACAGGAGTGCATCAACCAGCAGAGGGAAGACATTGAGCGACAGAGGAAGCTGCTCGCCAAAAGGAAACCCCCGAACCCCGTGTCTCCCTCCCTGTCCGTGACCTCCACATCTGAACCCAAGCAGCGCAAAACGAAGGTGGTCAACGGCAATGATTCGGACCCCTTCCTCAAGCCCTCCTTGCCTCAACTGTGAGTAAACAAAAATAACCACGTTGTAATTGGAGGACGCTGGACTGTGAAGAATGTAATGGTTGGTTTCCACCTATTTACAGAGTCAGTCCTTCTCACTTACAGGTGCTGGTTATAAAATTAGAATATCGTGAAAAAGTTTATTTTATTTCAGTAATTCCATTCAAAAGTGAAACTTGTACATTCATTCATTACACACAGACCAGTATATTTCAAATGTTTATTTCTTTTAATGTTGATGATTATAACGGACAACTAATGAATACCCCAAATTCAGTATCTCAGAAAATTAGAATATTGTGAAAAGGTTCAATATTGGACAACTGGTGCCACACTCTAATCAGCTTATTAACTCAAAACAAAGGCCTTTAAATGGTCTCTCAGCCTAGGAATACTGCTGACTTGACAGTTGTCCAAAAGATGACCATTGACATCCTGATGCATGCTCAATAATCCAGGTAGAAAAATCCAAAAAAGTTCAATCTGGTCCTCTGGACATTCAAAAAAACAAAAAACAAAACAAAGCAAAAAAATATAGAAACGTTCCGTCTCTCATCCAAAAGACGTCCTCAGTCTGAGGTGCTGTTTTCAGCTCAAGTCTTTTAAATAGCACCTTCTCAGAGTGGATCAACCAGTTTGCTGCTGACAACCAAAACCAGCTGATCACATGCTCAAGAAGGACCATCAGCCTAACAATGGATCATTAGCACACTGATGGCTGTTTACTATTCACAGAGGGCTGAGTGATACTAGCAATCACAGCATTGTAAGAGGGGGACAGTTGAACCCGGAGGCCTCCACCCCTGTTTAACAATGGACGATTTCTTTTCACAAAGATGGCCTCCTGTACTCCTCTCTCAAACCATCGTTCCTCTCTGTCCAGGATGTGAACATCTTCATCCCTGAAAGAGTGACCGCTGGCCTGGAGATGAGTGTAGACTGCAGAATCCTGGCCTGATGATGTTGATCTTCTGTGCTGGGCCATCCTTTTGGCCAGTGGCTGTTTAGTTTCCCCGATGTAAGACTGATCACAGCCCTCCTGACACTGAACAGCATACACAATATTACTCTGTTTGTGCCGGGGGACTGGATCTTTGGGATGAACCAGTCTTTGCCGTAATGTATTTTGGGGTTTAAAAGCCACTGGGACGTTATGTTTAGAAAATAAACGTCTCAGTTTCTCTGATACTCCCTCAACATACGGAATGACCACTGGTCTGGGTCTGGGTTCCTCCTTTTCACCTGATGGCTGACTGGAATCCTGTTTGGGTTTTTTCTCTGCTTTCAGGAAGGCCCAGTTAGGATATACACATTGTTCTAGAGCCTGTCTTGTGTGGGATTTCTCTTTCTGCCTGGCTCCTGATTTAGTGGGGACGTTGTCTGCTCTGTGGTACAGAGTCCTGATGACTCCTAACTTGTGCTCCAAATTGTGATGGGAGTCAAACTGCAAATACTGGTCTGTGTGGATGGGTTTGCAATACACCTCAGTTTGCAAATGTTTTCTATCAGAGACTGAGACCTCACAGTCCAAGAAAGCCAGCCTGCCATTTTTTTCATCTTCTCGTGTGAACTTGATGTATTTATCCACAGAGTTGATGTGGTCAGTAAAATGTTGGACTTCCTGAGATTTAATTTATATCCAGGTGTCGTCAACATACCTGAACCAATGACTTGGAGGCGTCCCTGAAAAGGACGTCAAGGCTCTCTTTTCTACCTCCTCCATGTACAGGTTGGCAACAATAGGAGAAACTGGAGACCCCATAGCACACCCATGCTTCTGCCTATAATATTGCTCCCCATATGTGAAGTAGGTTGACTGCAGGCACAGTTTCAAGAGTTGACACAGTTCTGTGGAAAGTGTGGTCCTGCTGCTCAGAGTGGTGTCTGATTTTAATCTTAAACTACCCACCTCTACTGCATTATCAACAGGAATGCAAGTAAAGAGTGATGTGACATCAAAAGAGACCATTGTTTCATCAGTCTCCATGATGACATCCCTCACTTTATCTACAAAGTCCATGGTGTTTTGTATGTAGTGTTCTGAGCTGCCAACTAAAGGGTTGAGTGCAGACGCCAGATATTTGGAAACATTGTAAGTGAGTTAATCATGCTAACAATTGGTCTTAAAGGCACACCTTGTTTGTGGATTTTAGGTCAACCATACAGACTAGGTGTGGCGTCCCCCTGGTACAGTTTGTGGTACATAATACGGTTAATAGCCTTGTACTGCTCCAAAATTTTCAGGCAATCTATCAACTTCTTCTTGTAACCACTTCCTGGATCTCTTTTCAGAGGTTCATAAGTGGTTAAGTCACTCAAGGATTGTCATTAAACAAAAACTTAACTACGTGCCTAGATCAGACCACACTTCAGCAAGTGATGGACTGTACAGATCAGGCATGCTTTGCACTGCATGTCAAGTCCAAGACTCAACAACAAAACAAGTTTAACTTACTGATAACTCGTCAAAACCATCACAATTCCAGTAACAACACAGTCAGTTGAAGACAACACTCCAGTAGACAATTACATGCCATGGAGACAGAAAAGTGGGTGAAGATTTTATCTGGCAGCCAGCTCACCCAGCCGGAGACAGAGATTCTTGCCAGGGGACTGAACTTTGCGGTTGCACCAAGTAGAATTCCTCTGGTGGAGATGATCACAGCAACAGAATCAGCCATCCGCAGCAACAAAATTAAAGAGGGTGAAGCAGAACAACTCAGAATCAAAGTTCAGTCTGCCTCAGCAATGCCAAACCACCACCTTCCAACATTAGTAGAGAGGAGATGGATGCACTCACTACTCTTAGCAAGGACAAAAACATCATCGTTCTCCCAGCAGACAAAGGAAGGTGCACAGTGATTTTGAACTAGAAAGTATATCATGAGAAAGTTATGACACTCCATAATGACTTAACCACTTATGAACCTCTGAAAAGAGATCCAGGAAGGGAATTCAAAAAGTTTTCTGTTTTCTGACGGTTTCTACTGCTTCAGAGATGGGTATGCAAGTGAAAAAAGAAGTTTCTGAAGTCACAGGGGAAGCCACTCCCTGTCTTTATGGACTTCCAAAAATACATAAAGAAGGAACACCACTCAGACCCATCGTCAGCAGCATGAACTCAGTGACATACAATATTGTTAAACATCTGGCTGGTATTTTAGCTCCTCTTGTTGGAAACACACCTCATCACACAAAAAACTCCATTGATTTTGCTAACAAAGTTCAACACTTGAAACTAACCCCAAGAGAAACCCTTGTATCGTATGATGTGACTTCTTTTTTCACATGCATACCCATCTCTGAAGCAGTAGAAACCGTCAGAAAACAACTTTTACAAGACAAGAACTTAATCAACAGGACCAACTGCACCCCAGACCAGATCTACACCCTGTTGGATCTCTGCCTCTCCACCACTTATTTCAAGTTCAATGACAGTTTTTACAGACAGAAGCACGGCTGTGCCATGGGATCTCCAGTGTCACCCATTGTTGCCAATCTCTACATGGAGAAAGTGGAACAGTGAGCCCTAAACTCCTATGAGGGAACAACGCCAAGCCATTGGTTCCGTTATGTGGATGACACTTAGGTCAAAATCCAAGCTAAGGAAATAGAAGCGTTCACCGGACACATTAACTCGGTCGATAACAACATCAAGTTCACCAGAGAGGATGCAAACAACAACAAACTGCCTTTTTTGGACTGTTTGGTTCAGATGGAGAGAGAGGACAGCCTCAACATTGAAGTTTACAGAAAACCAACCCACACAGACCAGTATCTTCTGTTTGACTCCCACCATCCACTGGAACACAAACTCTCTGTCATCAGAACTTTACAACATCGGGCCGAATGCGTCCCCACAAAGACGGAAGGGAAGGAAAAGGAACAGAAACGCATTCAAGAAGCTCTCCAAACATGTGGATATCCAAACTGGGCTTTTGTCAAGTCAGCGAGGAAATCTACAAAACACACTAATAAACAGAAAAAGGAGAACAACAGATGGAAAAACATTGTCATCCCTTATGTTGCTGGAGTATCGGAGAAATTCAGAAGGATTTTCAACAAACACAACATCCCAGTACATTTCAAACCCAGCAGGACTCTCAGACAGAGACTGGTCCACCCTAAGGACAAAACACCCATACACAAACGGAGTGGTGTAGTGTATGTGGTCCAATGCAGCGAGGACTGTCCAGACCTCTACATTGGAGAAACTAAACAGCCTCTTCACAGACGCATGGCTCAACACAGGAGAGCCAGCTCTTCAGGACAAGATTCAGCTGTTCACTTCCACCTCACAGATAAGGGACACTCTTTTGAGGACCAAAATGTGCACATTTTGGACCGAGAACACAGCTGGTTTGAGAGGGGGGTGAAGTAAACAATTTATGTAAAAAGGGAAAAGCCATCTCTTAACAGAGGAGAGGGCCTCAGATTTCCACTTTCAAAAACCTATAATGCAACTTTAAAATAGATTCCCAGCCGGTTTTAACACTTGATGGGAACAGAGGGGTCTCATCTGTGAATTAGAGTAACAATGACCTTAAGAAACCTCTACAGTTAATGTGTTGAGGTGTGACTTGTCAAATCTACATATGTGTGTGTGTGTTTTATCTCACTCAGCCTTATAAACTGAATCTCTCACTCACTGCTCATTGAATTGAAAAAGCTCCTCGGATGAGGAGCGAAACGTCTTCTGTTACAAATAAAGTCCAGTTGTTTTTGTATTGAACGCTTTTTGAATTCATCATGTCCTTGATGACTGAGAATCTTCACCAGCATCCAGGAAGTGGTTACAAGATGAAGTTGATAGATTGCCTGAAAATTTTGGAGCAGGACAAGACTATTGACCATATTCTGTACCACAGACTGTACCCAGGGGAGGCCACACCTAGTCTGTATGGTTGACCTAAAATCCACAAACAAGGTGTACCTTTAAGACCAATTGTTAGCATGATTAACTCACTTACAATGTTTCCAAATATCTGGTGTCTGCACTC